TATAATGAGCAAAACAAACTGATGAACAAAATAGACCCAGAGACATTAGAAGTAAGGTACAGATTGACAAACCTCAGAAGAGAGGGTCAGGGGGCAGAGAAGAGATAAACCACAGAACTTATATGCATGTATGCATAACCACTGCATAGACATTAGTCATAGACAACAATGCTGGGGACAGGGTGGGGGGTGGGGAATCAGGAGGAGAGTGTCAATGGGGGGAAAAGGAGAAACATCAGTAACAAAAATAAATTAATAAAAAAATTAAAAATAATAAAAATAAATACATAAAAGAATAAATGACTTAAATACAAAAAAATAAAATAAAATACTAGTTCAGGTAGACAGTAATAAGTTACAGATCTCTAGTAATTATTAAAATATAATACAATACAATAATACCTTTTATTCCTTAAAAGGTAATTGAGGAAAATACAATAATAAACACTTTTAATGCCACTTTGAATTTATGATAATTACCATGACCTTAAAATCTAATCTTAAACCTAATGGTGTTTTCCCAACAAAAGTTGCTATGTAATACAATTGCATTCTTTTTTCCGTGTAATGTTTTCCTGGTTTTGTTTTGAAATTTTAAAAATACAGACAGTTGATGAAGCTTAAACTCTATTTATCCTAACATGATGAGGTATGCAACTACAGATTAAGACTCATCAAAGTGTTAGATGAGCCTGAGGATCACGATTATGTGATACTTCAAGAATGGAAGATTATGTTCTCTATTCCACCCTGCAAAGAAGGAGGAAATATTTTGATCCCTAACTAAAAGAGAGAACTCTTCCAAGTGTGCTTATCCCCAAAATGCTGTCTCCTTTGCCGAAAAAGAATAGTTTATCATTGCAATCAAAACATTCTTTAGGTGCATTGTCTCAGATGAAACCAGTGTGCTACTCAGATGCTCATGATCTATATTTCATCTCTGATCCCCCTTTCCTTGGTAGTTTTATGATGATCTCTTCTCTGAGATTCATGAGTGTACCCTTTGCATGAGTAAGAAACTGTGTACTATAACTAAAAGTATCATTAGCCCTAAATATATCTGTTTCTTATCTTCTAAGATTCACTTATTATTTCTCTTTGAAGATTTTCAGTGCTTGAGTATATCTGCATTTTGCTTAATTTCTAAGATAAATTATACTACTCTAAGATAAATTTTGCTACTCCATGCAGCCATTAGGATGATATCTTTGTATTGGCTTGGAAAAGATATCTATGACTTGTTTTGGAGTGGGGAAAAGAAAGCTGTGTGTAGAGCAATATTGATGTGATACAGACGATAGGAGAATTTCTGCATTAGTTGTATATTTTTTAAACTTTTACACTTATTAATTTTAAAAAACTTGGTTCATGTCTGCTGTTAAGACTGTACATTTATTCATGTCAAGCATATTAATATTTTTTAAAATAAACCTAAGAAATCCAGAACTAGAGAAAGTTTGGGACATCTATAAACTTTTTCTGAATACAGTATATGCAGGGCAGTAGGCTAAATGAGCACTGGTAATTGATTACAATTTTATAAGAAGTAGGTATTTATATACAATAACTCTGAATTTGTTAGTGTTTTTCAGTATTAGTCTTTTTCCAATAAAAATAAAAGACTTAAAAGCCTAAAAATAATATAGCTGTCTTGATACCTGTGTTAATTTCATCTGCATTTCACTCCCCAGAATATGTCTTGTCAAACTATAAAGAACTTTGTGAAAACTCTTATCACCTAATTATAAAACAAAGCAGCCTAAAATTATTTGTAACACACAGCACAATATATAAAATAAAAGAGGATATGTTATCTTTTCCTGAAATGCTTTGATTTTTTAAAAAATAAATTGACTACCTTGCTTCAGTTAATGTTCAAAGTTAGAATGACCTTCAATCTGGAACCATGAAAGGATCAATGAAAAAACTCCAGAAATGTTTACTGAAGGTGATTTAGAAATCTAGGGTTCCTAGAGGTACAGACAATATGAGGAAATGGATTTATTTTCTTATCTCCCTCTCTTTTTGTACTTTCATGAATCTCATTGTGTTTTACATGTGCTATAGGACATACTAAATTTGATAAGACATGACTACTGCTGCTCTACATATCAAAATGTAATTGTTCTGCCCCGGCCAGTATGGCACAGTTGTTTGGAGAATCATCCCATGCACGGAAAGTTCCCATGTTCAATTCTGGGACAGGGCACATACTAGGTTGTGGGTTCAATCCCCGGCCCCAGTTGAAGTGCATAGGGGCATATGGGAAGCAACCAATGGATGTTTCTCACATCGATTCTCTCTCCGTCTCTCTCTCCGTCTCTCTCTCCGTCTCTCCCTCCGTCTCTCCCTCCCCCTCTCCCTCCCCCTCCCCCTCTCCTCCCCTCTCCCTCTCCCTCTCCCTCTCCCTCTCCCTCTCCCTCTCCCTCTCCCTCTCCCTCTCCCTCTCCAAAAAGCAATGAACATATCTTTGGGTGAGGATTTTTAAAAATCTAATTGTTCCAAGTGGGTGATAATAACCACATTTGGACATTTCTATGCCATTACCTTTTTCCACTTGGGAGTTTTTTTCAGGGTGAAACAGCTCAGACCACACATTGGTTAAGAAGTAGTCTCGGCCTTTTGGTTCAGTTTCACTTAAACCTTAGAAAAACAAGGCAAGCCCTGGGCCCGTTTGGCTCAGCGGTTGGAGCGTCAACCTGTGGTCCAGAGAGGCCTGGGTTCAGTTCCTGCTAAGGGCACGTATCTTGGTTGCAGTTGGTCCCCGGCCCTGGCTGGGTCATGCGGGTGGCAGCCACTCGATGTGTCCCTCTCACATCAATGTTTCTCTCTCTCTCTCTGTCTCTCCTCTCTCTTCATATGAATTTTAAAAAAAGTGGAAAAATGTCCTCAGGTGAGGACAGAAAAAAAGAAAAACAAAGCAAGCTTGGAGGAGGTGTTTTGAAAGAAGTTGCATACTCATACCAAATTGGAAAATTAAAAGAAAAAAATAATGTGAGAACAAGAACAGAAGATTTTACCTGTATAAAGTAGTTATTTTTTGTGATTGTTGACTGAAGTGTTTTAGTTCAACATTTTGCTCTTAAAAAGTGTAATATTTGTCAATCATAGATCATAGACATCAAATATTTTTAAAATTTCTCTAGCTTTATTGAGATACTATGAACATAGAACATTGTGTCAGTTTAAGGTGTACGACCTGATTTGATACACATGTATTGTGAAATGATTGCCACAATAAGGTTAGTCAACACATCCATTACCTTACATAAAAATATTTTGTTTTATTTTTACATACATCACCAAAATCTCTCAGAATTCCAGATTTTGGGATGTCTCCCTTACTGTTTTTTAAACTAATATTTGTTGAGCATTTTTATGTTCTAAATGCTTCACATGTGCTAATTCATTTAGTCTTTGCAACAGCCGCATGAGAAATGTGCCCAGGAAGCCGCTCCGTTCCCAGCTGTTTGTCTCCTGGATAGGTGGTGGCCCTTGGCTAGTGATTACTGCAGCCCGCACTGCCTGCTCAGGTTGCACCCTTGCCTTGGCGGTGATCCAGTCCCCCCCGAAATGACTGGATCTCTGTGCGCCAGGTTGACGTCCCACTTTCTCATCCTGACAGGGCTTTCCATTGAATGTTATAAATTATTTTCTCTCACTATCTCATTATATCAAAAGCCAACTTAAATTTTTTAAAAATTTTGAAATTCCTTGTAAAATATATATAACACAGGCCCAGCTGGTATGGCTCAGTGGTTGAGCGTTTACCCATGCACCACGAGGCCGCCAGTTTGATTCCCAGTCAGGGCACATGCCCAGGTTGTGGGCCCAACCCCCAGTGCAGAGCATGCAGGAGGTGGCCAACCAATGTTCTCTCATTGATGTTTCTATCTCTCTCTCCCTCTCCCTTCCTCTCTCTCTCAAATCAATAAAGAAAAAAATTTTTTTTGTATATACATAACAAAATTGACCATCTTAATTATTTCAAGCACGTATTAAGTACATTCACACTGGTGCACAACCATCTACACCATCTAGCTCCAGAACTCATTTCGTCTTGAGAACGTAATAAACAACTACCCATTCCCTCCTCCCCTAAGCCCCTACAAACTACCATTCTACTTTTTGTGTCTATGAATTTGCCTACTGTAGGTACCTCATATAAGTGGAATTATACAGTATTTGTCTTATAGTGTCTGGCTTATTTCACTTCGCAGATGGTCTTCAAGTTTCATCCTTGTAGCATGTATCATAATTTCTTTTCTGTATCAGAATTTCTTTTCTTTTTAAGGCTGAATAATATTTCATTGTCTGTATTATATACCACATTTTGTTTATTTCATCCATTGACAGATGTTTGGGTTGGTTCTGCCTGGTGGCTTTTGTGAATGCTGCTGTGAATGTGGATGTGCAAAAACTTCTGAGACCTTGCTTTCAATTCTTTTGGGTATTTACCCAGAAATAGAATTGCTGGATCATATAGTAATTCTATGTTCAATTTATTAAGGAAACTCCATACTGCTTTCTATAACAGCTGTACCGTTTTACATTGCTATCAGCAGTGCACAAGGGTTCCAGTTTCTCCATATTCTCATCAACATTTGTTTTCTGGGTTTTTTTTTTGTTGTTGTTTTTTGTATGTTTGTGGCAATCCTAATGGGTGTGAACAGCCAATTTTTTACACTTCCTCTGTCATCGTCTTAGATACTTTATAGAGACAGACTGTATTTGTTTTGACTAATACAAATAACTTCCTACTTTTTGAGTATGTGAAAATTATGTAAGTGCTTTTGTGGTAAGTCCTAAATGGCCACAGAGTCATTATGAATTATAAAGAGTAGAAAAAAAAGGACCACCACTGGATAGAGATTATTCCCTGAAACCCCTCTTTACCACACTAACTTAATCTCTCCACTGATTTTAAACCTAAATTGAATTTTGTGATTTATGACATAGAAGACACTGATTTTAATTCACAGGTATTATTCTTTCCACAGAAAATCCATTCCTCGCTGCCGAAGAATTAACAGGATGCTCTCCAATGAATCCCTACATTCTCCTGCGTTCAGCCGCTCCAACTCACAAGCCTCTGTAGACAGCACCTCCATGGAAGATTTCTGGCGGGAAATAGAAAGTATTGAAGAGAACAGCATGGGAGGGCAGGAAGAGCAGGTACCGGCTGAGGTCAAACCTGCTGATGGTAAGGTGTTAGATTCCTTGTCTTGTGTGCTGACTTGCTGTCTTTGTGTGCTCTCTCTTGTTCTGCCAACAGGTAGAACTCATCTGATTAGTAGTTTAACAACTGAATTTATAGAATCCAGCATATCAGCTACCTCTTCCCACTGATTTATATCTACTGGACTGGCTCTAGGTGGCTTCTGTTCAAGGTGACATGACCTGAAGGATGGCTGTCAACAAATTGATCCCTTCCATATCACTACTTAGGGATGCTGTGCCTAGCTATTAATTTGATTAATTATCATCTATCAGACTAAGTATTCTAACTTTGATGGCCTTTACATCTGTATACTTGACTATTAATTAGAGAGAGAGAGAGAGAGAGAGAGAGAGAGAATGGGAATGAATTGCCAGGATAAATTTAAAGAAAAGTATCTTTGACTTTGAAGCATTTACTTGCTTTAATGTATTTAGAGAATATATTCTTCTGTAGTACCCAAAATAAAAGCTATATAAAATATACTCATTTTCAGTAAAACTAAACAGAAGAAGGTTGAGAACCAAAATAAATAAAAAATAATAAAATAGTATAATTATCTTTAGTGCCAAAGGGAGCAAGATTACTCATCTGGGATTAAAAGCATAATCCATCTCCTCCAGGTCCTACCTGTCAACAAGTAAATACACTAGAGATCCGAGAAAGACTGAAGGTAGTTCAGTTAGTAAGTATACAGGTATATATGTAAGAATGTTTTCATTAGGCAGTTATATAACACACACAAACATGTATAGATGTATGTACTTACATGTATTTACACAATGTGTATGCATATGTATTACATACATAAATACATACACATATTTATATCTATATTTCTATAATTAAAGACATTAATATATGAGTTCACACCTATACCTTCAATTTCAATATAATACCACTGGATTCATTGTACTTTTCTCCCTTAACATATTTGTGACTTCCTTCTTAGACATCAAGAAAACGGGCTTTCATTATCGTAAATCTATCTATCTGTTTATCTATCTATCTATCTATCCATCCATCTTTATTTATACTTATTTGATCAACCCCCCTTTATGTTACTAATTTTTCTCTACCTCTAGAGATTGCCCTTCTCATCTCAGGCTCCAACATTCCTTGCCTTGCTCTGTTCCAACTAATGACTTTAGGCTTCAGGACTAAATTTAGTGAGAAGAGAAAGTAGCCATCTGTTTTTTAAGAAATTAATATCCACATACTGAACATTTATACTACTTCCTTTTTTATATGTCCAGTATCCATCTTATGTTTTTAGCCCTTACCCATTAGCACATCTTACAGAGCAAGTTTACTGGTGATAAATTCTCTTGATTTTTATTCACCTGAAAATTACTGTATTCCACCTTTATTCTTAAAAGGTATTTTTGCTGGATTTCTAATTATTGTTTGACAAGGTTTTCTTTTTCTCTCAGGATTTTAAAGATTTTATCTTACTGTCTTTTGACCTCCGTTGTTTCTGATAAGGAGTCAATGTATTCATACTGTTTTCTCCCTGTCTGTAATGTGTTGTCCTTCTCTGAATGCATTCAAATTTTCTATCTTTGGTTTTTAGCAGTTTGACTTTAAGATGCCTAAGCTCACTTTCTCTTGTGTTTACCTACTTGTTGAACTAATTGGTTTTTCAGCAAATTTTAGAAACTTTTGGACATTATTTCTTCAAATTTTTTTTCTGCACTACTCTCTCTCTTCTCTGAAACCTCAGCTAGACATATATCACAAAATTTAACAATTCCCTAAGGTCACTGGCGAATGTTTCAATTGTTTAAAAATATTTCTCTATCTTTTCCATTGGATTATTTCCATTGATTATTGCAAGTTTACTGGCCCTTTCTTTTAAGGTCTCTAATACACTGTTAAGCCCTGTCAGCACATTTTTTATTTAATATATTTTAATTTCCAGTTCTATAATTTAAATTTTAGTTGTTTTATACATTTCATTTAAAAATATATTTTTTTCTTTATTGATTTTTTAGAGAGAGGGGAAGAGAGAGGGAGAGAGAGAATGGACACATTGTAAGAGCGAACATCGATTGGCTGCTTCCTGCATGCCCCCCACTGGGGACTGGGCCCGCAAGCTGGCATGGGCCCTGACCAGGAATCGAACTGGCGACATCTTGGTGCATGGGTCAATGCTCAACCACTGAGCCACACTGGTTGGGCAACTTTTCATTTTTGCTGAAAATTTATGTGGATTCATCATGAGCATGTTTTCATGAGCCTTTGTACTTGAGCATAGATATATTAACAGATGCTTTAAAGTCCTAGTCCAACATCAGTCATCTCCGAGTCACTTTCTATTGACTACCTTTTCTCCTGATCAAGTCATTCATTTCTTTTCTTTTTATTATATCCTTGATATTGTAACATTTTTTATAATCTAATAATATGGTGACTCTCTATTTTATTATCTCCCTCTAAGGGGGTTAATTTTAGTTCTAGCAGTTAATTTGACTAGACTCATACTTCCAAGTCTGTCTTCCCTGCTCTATGTAGCATCTATAATCTTGGTCATTTATTTAGCCTTCTAGCTGCTATTTTTTTAATAGGATTCTTGGTGTCTCTCATGTACCTTTTCAATTTAAGGTTTAATCAAGGATTTGGTCAGAGTTTATGCACACATTTTCAAGTTCTTTCCTATGTGGCTCTCTCTTAACAGTAATATGTCTGTCATTTTCCAGCTGTTCTGATATTCCCATACTTTATCCTCTGACTTTTTAAATAAGTATAACTGTGGTTTTCTGTTTGAGTTCTAGCCACCCAATACTGTAGGAGTTGGAAAATGACCTCAGTTTTAAAGTTGTATAAATGAGAATCTCACCCAGTGCATTTCCTTTTATCAAAATTTAATTGTTTTTAAGTTCCTGCAGGCACTTGGTTCCTTTTCATTACCTTCAAATAGTTACTCTTATGTAATTAGCTCAGAGTTCATAGTTGTTATACATGACTATTATTTCTGTGCAAGCTCCGCTACCTTTCCTGGAAGATTTTATTTCCTTTTTAATATGGTTCACCAACAAACTTACTAATGTGGTAGATTAGTACAGAATGGTACAACTTAGGTACAACTTTGGTTCACCTTTGCATTTTCTGTTCAAGGGACAGTTTATAAAACAAATAAGCAATAAAAACAGGAAAGTAAGTAAAAGATTTGCCTAGCTAGGAAATTGACCCTGTGCAGCATGTGACAGGGTTTTGTTCACATACCAATGATGCGATAATGTAAGCATCGTCCAAGACTCCTAGACTCATATTTTGACAGGCTATTTACAAATCAGTCTAAACTGCTTTTTAGAAAAAGCTCGTTCAGGAATGCTTGTTTAGTATAGTTCCCAGAATTGTATGTGCAGTGGATTTTCTGTTACAAGATGTTGTTATTCTGAATTCTTTATTATTTCTGTGCCTCTAATTTATAATAGCAATTGATTTTTATTGTGACTAATTTTACATTTTTTAATTTCCTTCTGAAAAATGAAAAGATTTACCTAGTGTTCAGAATAAGGAAAAAAGTAAGAGAACAAATATCTATTGAATACATGTTCTGTTCCAGGATTTTTTGACATTTGTCATCACTACATTGATAAAACAATCTTCGTAGCCACCTAATAATTTTGTTATTATTACTCCTATTTTCCCAAAAGGATACTGAGGTCAAGAGATATCTTAAAACTCTCCAAAGTCATTTATCTGCTAAATGGTAGCATTGGGATTTGAATCTGCCTTTGAGTGATTAAAAGCCCGGTGCTATTAAACCCCTCTTTTTCTACTATGATTTTAGTTTAAATATTCATATTTTATTATTTTTAGAATTGGTAGTCCAGATATAGCTTATATTTAGCTGTCTAACAAGGAACAAACCATAACCAATCTGCCAATTAACCTTACTGTACTAGAAAATACTTTAAAATTTGACTTATTTTAAAAATACAACACAGACTTTTTATTCATTTTAATAGGCTTTTTTCATAATTTAGAAAAAAAGGACAGTCTTAATATATTGAGTACTGATGTTTCTTATTCACTGATATGCACAGACCTACAGACAGACACACCATCCAATCGGACGCAGAATGTTCTAACCTCTTGGTCATGTTATTTACAGAAGGAGAACTCGAAGCAGAGTGGTTGCAAGATGTGGGTTTATCAACCCTGATCTCAGGTGATGAAGAGGAGGACGGCAAAGCCTTGCTGTCCACACTGACTCGAACCCAAGCAGCTGCAGTGAAAAAGAGATATAATACTTATAGTCAAACCATGAGAAAAAAGCATAAGCAATCTGTCAGGGACGTCAGAGACATCTTTGGAGTCAGCGAATCTCCAGTAAGTAAGGAACATAGCTCAAAAGGTTTTATATTGGCTGGGGGCGGGGGGGGGGGGGGATGATGAAGGAAGGGAACATGAAAAAAAGTATCAGAAAAGGCCATTCAGCCCTGGCCAATTTGGCTCAGCGGTTAGAGTGTTGGGCCGCGGACCAGAGAGTTGCAGGTTCGGTTCCTGCTAAGGGCACGTACCTCGGTTGCAGTTTGTCCCCGGCCCCAGTTGGTGTTGTGTGGGTGACAACCACTCAATGTGGTTTTTCACATCAATGTTTCTCTCTCTCTCTTCCTTCCGCTCTCCCTCCCACTCTATCTGAAGATAAAAATGAAAAAAAAAAAAAAAAAAGAAAAGTTCATTCACTCTCTAGGTCTCAGAGAAAATTAAAGAAGACAACACAGTCGAAAATTTTACAGATTTGAAACTTAAACTGTCATTCCTTATGTCCCATTCAGCAGTCTCCTCGACACTAAATGCATTCCCTTCTTCAGAGAAGTTGTGAAATAACTTTTGGACAATAAAGCAAGTTTTTGTGGATGGGATACACAGAGCCTTTGCTTAAATTTAAGTGCTGAATGAAAACAGGTGTTGGAGTCCCAGGAAAGTGGCCTCAGTATTATAAGCAAGTCTGGGTGTTTTTTTTCTTTTTTTAATGTGCTTGTTACATTTTATTTCTGTATTTTTATTTTTTATTTAGGTCTAGTTGATATACAATATTAATTATATGAGTTGCAGGTGTACAATATAGTGATTCAACATTTTTTTTAATTCATTTATTTATTTTTGTTACAGATGTTTCTCCTTTTCCCCCCACTGATTCTCCCCTTCTTCTCCCTCCCCGCCCTGTCCCCAGCTTTGTTGTCCATGTCCACTGTTCATGCATACATGCATATAAGTTCTGTGGTTTATCTCTCCCCCACCACTCCCTCTTCTGAGGATTGTCAGTCTGTGCCCCACTTCCACGTCTCTGGGACTATCCCCTACATCAAACTCAAAAGCTTCTGCACAGCGAAAGATACTATCATCAAAACACTGTATGGGAGAGCATAATTGCCAATGATGTATCAGATAAGGGATTAATTTCCAATATATACAGAGTGCTCATACAACTCCACAAAAGGAAGACAAAGAACCCAATTAAAAAATGGGCAGAGGAGCTGAATAGACACCTCTCCAAACAGGACATACAAATGGCCAAAAGACATATGAAGAAATGCTCAACATCACTAATCATCAGAGAGATGCAAATTAAAACAATGAGGTATCACCTCACACCTGTCAGAATGGCCGCCATCAACAAATCATCAAACAACAAGTATTGGCGAGGGTGAGGAGAAAAGGGGACTCTAGTACACTGCTGGTGGGAATGCAGACTGGTGCAGCCACTATGGAAAACAATATGGTGTTACCTCAAAAAATTAAAAATTGAACTGCCATTTGACCCAGTGATCCCACTTCTAGGAATATACCCTAAGAAGCCTGAAACACCAATCAGAAAGAATATATGTACCCCCATGTTTGTAGCAGCACTATTTACAATAGCTAAGATCTGGAAACAGCCCAAGTGTCCATCAGTAGACGAATGGATAAAAAAGTGGTGGTACATATACACAATGGAGTACTATGCAGCTGTAAGAAAGAAAGATCTCTTATCCTTTGAGATGACATGGAGGGACCTGGAAAGTATTATCCTAAGCGAAACAAACCAAACAGAGAAAGACAAGTATCATATGGGTGGTTTGTTTTAAATGGAGGTAGGGGTGGGAGAGTGAGTGGGGTAGCCTTTATGGCTGAGTAAATTAAAAAGGTAAACATTTGAAAGATATGAGCATTAATTAAATAGGAAAGAGAATGATTCATAAAAAGCATAAGGCAAGCATCACATGTTTTATGAGGAATGGCTGGTTGAAATTCTGGCTTACCCTGAGATTTCTAAGGCCACACTTTTACTTCTGAGTCTTTTAGTCATGTTCTCCTAATTCTGTGTGTGTTTTACTGCAAGCTCTGCCTTACAACTCATTCATTCATTCATTCATTGCATCATTGCAGTGTTGTGTTGCATAACTGCACCACTGAAGCAACAAATACTTAGTGGACACATTATCTGTGCAAGGTCCTATATTAGGTTATATGCAGATAGGATTCTTGGAAAGTTGGGGGTAATTATTATATAGATAAAAGGAAACTTGGTATTCTGTTGCAGTTACAAAGAAAGTTACCTGAAGTGAGTTAATCACTCTGATTTAGGTTTTTCATCTGTTTAATTGTAATATCAATAATGAGATAAATTAAAACTTCAAATATATTAGGTAGCTAGCACAGTTGAATACAGTTTTCAATTTGAGTTACTTTAGGCTTTCTGTAAGTCATATCTTCTCTTAGATATATTAATGGCATTGGGTAGTTGCCAGGGCAGCTCACATATACTTAGTTAACCTTTGCATTTGTGCTGACTAGCACTATCCTCTGTAACTTGCTGCAGTGTTAGAAGTGATCTATTTCTGTGCTGTCCAATAGGGTAGCCCCAGTCACATGTGGCACGAGCATTTGAAATATGTTTGGTGTGAATAAGGAGCTGGATTTCCAAGCTGAATACCAATTTCCTTTTATCTATTAAATAAAATAAATAATTTTATTTAATCTTAATTGGTTTCAATCTAAATACTTACACGTGGCTTGTAGCTAATGAGTTGAATAGCACAGTTCCAGAGTCTTCTGTGAATAATGATATATCTAGAGATAAGTGTGTTTTGAGCTCTGTGCTGTTTGAATTTTCAAACTCCTCGAAGCCTATGTCTTTCTGGGTGGTGTGATTTTCTACAGCTGCAATGAAATAAATGAGGTGATGCCCACAACTAAGGCAAGGGCTTCAGCCATGGGTTCCTGGCCAAGTTGTCTATTGAGGAAAAGGTTTACCCTGTTGGTTTAAATTCCCTGGGTCATTTTTCAGTTATCTTCCAGATCATCTGAGAAAGTCCTGAGAATTTGGCCACATGCCTTCTTTCCCACCATTTCCCGCTTCAGATAAAGGTTGTTGCTGGTTCCTAGCAAACTACAGAAGAGGAAGGTGTCCATTGGCTTCTCCAGTTACTCAAGAAAAGGCATGACTAGCCTCTTTAGTGTTCCTAAAACTTTGAACAGCTGGTAAAACAGAAACAGGGAGAAAAACAGATCTGTTTGTGCTCCTCCCTCTTTTAATTAGATCGTGAAGGGAAATGCAACATGGGCACTTACCTATTAGGGCTTTAAGTATAAAAAGAAATGATGAGCCCTGGCTGGTTTGGCTCAGCGGTTGGAGCGTCGGCCTGCAGACCAGAGAGGCCCAGGTTCAGTTCCTGCTAGGGGCATGTACAAAAAAAAAGAAAGAAAGAAAGAAATGATGAGTGCACAGGTGCAGTAACTGTTCGGTGTTCAATTCCAGTGAAGGCAGAGGGAAGGCCTAAGACAGTGCCTTTGTGGTGGAGGCGGCGGCCTAGGGTGGGTCAGGGAGGGGGTGTCTTCCTCTTGTCCTCTTCCTCTCCCCACTTCTAGGCTTGCTGCCGAAGCCCCAGTCCTAGGCTGAACTGAGAACGGGGTGAGGCAGGGAGAGGGGTTGCAGTAGAAGAAAGATCAGGTGCTCAAGGAGTGGAGGTCTGGTGCTGTCCTGGCAAATGGGACCTCTGGAAGTCAGTGGATGCCTGGCATTCGACACGCTGCTTAGAAGTTCAGTTTTCGCCCTGGCCGCTTTGGCTCAGCAGTTGGAGCGTCAGACTGCAGACCAAAGAGTTGCGGGTTTGATTCTGGTCAAGGGCACATACCTCAGTGGCAGTTCGGTCAGCAGCCTTGGTCCAGGTCGTGCGGGAGGCAACCAGTCGATGTGTCTCTCTCACATTGATGTTTCTCTCTCTCTCTCTCTCTCTCTCTCTCTCTCTCTCTCTCTCTTTGCTCCCACCTCCCACTCATTCTGAAGATAAATGGAAAAATATCCTCTGGTGAAGATTGAAAAAAAAAAAAAATTCAGTTTGTTCTTTGTTAAAATTTTAAAAGTGGTATTTTTAAAAAATATTGTACATTTACAATATATAAGGCCTAATGACCATCTTCACAGATATTTTTGTTCTCAAAAAAGTCCTCTGTGTCTCCAAGTAAAGAGAGATGGAAGGTTTTTAGGAATGTACTTAAATTTTTCAGTTTTCTATTTGAATTTGGCAGCATAAATACCAATTCTCCCTCCCTCCTTTTTCTCCAAGTATCTGTCCTGATCTGTGTGTGTGTCCCCCCCCCCCCCATTCTCATCCTCCTCCCGCTCCTCCTTCACCTCCTCTTCCTCTCTCTCTTTCTCATGTTCCTGGCAGTTCATGAAACTTGTCCCAACTGCTCCATCCCTCTGACCTTACTTTCCTGGAAATCTGATAATGTAGAATTTCATTTACCACCTGTTGTTCAGAACTGTTATGTGATCATCTTTAGTTGCAAGGGAGCCTGGGAAATCAATTTTTTATTTTTAGTTGGACACAAAAGTTTCTAAAAAAATATTCTGTTAACAATGTTAAGTGCCTAGGTTAGGGATAGGCAATTGCCAGTATCTGGTCTCCACAGAGACCAGTGTCTATCATCATCCTGGCAAATACTGGCTGATAAATGGCTAAATGAAGTAAGTGCAAGGCAGTCACATATATGTATAGCTCCACAAATATGTATGGATGTACACTTATGCATAACACGTAACTGAATGCACAGTGACCTTTGGGAGAATATGCCTGAATAAAAATGCACTTTCATTTTTTTCAATAGCCAGATGATTTTTGTTGTATCCCAACTCCTCTTTTGGATGCGACCCGGGATGAAGAAGGGATATCAACAATTCCATCCAGAAATGGTCTACTGGTAAGATAAAGCCAGGGGATTTAAGAGTAAGGAGGTTAGAAAAAAGTAATTATTTCAAGGCAATCAGAAATACTTGAAACAAAATGCCTACTTGTAACAAGAAAAAGGAGGCTCTTAAACTTGGGAATAAATAATTAAATAGTTTAAAATCACAAGGAACTACATGACCTACCTGAACCTACTATATCAGAAATCAAAAGCAACCACAGCTGCAGCTGCAGACACAGCCTTAAGTCAAAATGTGGGCGAGGTCATCAGCTAAACTGTTCTCTTTGCTGAGCGCGTAGAGAACCTTGTGCTATCCTCCATGTAGCCTCTGGTATTAATGTAATTCTCACCCTAAGAAGTATTTTGACATTTCACTTATGTTCTAAATGTAAATATTTTGGGGGGAGCAGCACAGTAGCATCTTAAACATATAGCAATAGGTGGGAAAAGTGCACTATCTAGCACAGGAGGTGGACATTTTCACTATGTCGCGAGACACGAGATGTTTCATTAGAGTGCACCTTGCTAGTTTTAGTAGAGTTTCGAAGAGCGAATGTGAGTTCATAACTGCCAGTAAAGCTATCTTAATAAAGAAGGATTTATTTTTTGAGACGAATCCCATGCCTTAATCTGTAGCACTTGGCATGTGGCCTGGGTCCTCTCACTGAAGTGGCATGTCCCAAGTAGGAAAAATAGAAAGTCATGGGTTTGCTGATATCTTTCTCCACTTGGCCTCGTGGCTATAAAAAATGTGCAGTGGGAGACTTTATTATACTTCGGTATGTTTCCTTCTCTGTAGCTCTGCTTTTGTTCCTTCCTAGCAGAAGAAGGGGGATTCTTTGCTATTATTAGAATAACTCTTATACCACCTTTGATCTGATGAAGATGATGATAATGATATTTAGATGTTTAGTTTCTATATAATTTATTTTCATCTCATGTATATTTTGCATGGGGCACTCTATCCTGGGTTACTCTTGGTCCCTTCTGAAATTCTGTTTAGTGTTAGGATGTGGCCAGTTTGTGCTCTGGCTGCCCTTCTGTTACTGAGGGTCAGCCAAGGTCTGGAGGTGGAGCTTGGTCAGTTGGGGCTGTGAGCAATTCTAATTTGCAGATTTTGTCTCTCTTTTTTCCCCAGTTCTATTGTATTTCTTATAAGAGTGCTAACTCTTTCTAGTCAGAGGTTTTTAAGATTTTCTTTGAGTTCGAAGCAGGTTGCCCCCTCAGGTCAAGGTGTCCTATGCACCTCACTCCCAACCAAGAACTTGACTCAGGTGCTCGGTGTTCTGTGCCTGCCCCGTCGTCTTTCACGCAGCCACGGCTGCTCCCCGCGGCCAGAGAGCACGTCAGAGGAGACACTGGTGTGTTTCCACATAATGGGTTTCACTGAGCCTTCACCCCACTGACTTCACCTACATTTTGATGGCCTTTTCTTCACCCCATAGGTGAGGAAGGGATTCCTGCCCTAGGTAATAGGGATGGCTGAACACGTCGCACCTGGCACTGGATGATAAGATTGACCTCAATAAATTAGTCACATATTCTCCCAGTCTGGGGGAGGAGGACACCACACAGAGCCCCATGTGGGGTGCACTTGGGAGCAGAGTGAATAAGAAGGGGCTGTAGGAGGCAGGCTTTGTAGGAACAAGAGGGTGAGGTGCCCCCTGGTTCCCATGGGGGACGTGATTGGCTTGTTAATACCATTTTACAGGCTGGCAAGAAACTGAAACCCACCACTCAGGGATAATGAGGAGCTGTGTCTGGTCCCCCGGATAAGGAGCACTGTCTGGCTGGGGTACCTTATCTGGGGGAGCAGAGTGGAAAGGGAACTTGCAGCTAGGCCGCTCATGGCCTTTCCAGTCTTTTCAGACGTCAAGGTAGCACAGAACAGTGGGCCTTATGTTAGGTCTTAAGCCACACTGACACTCACACCCCTAGCCCTTGGACTCTCATGATTAGTCTGGATTTATCTTATCTCTTTTATCACTTTTATTTATCACCTTTTATTTCAGTTTCTTGAAGGTCTTATCCCCTTTTAAAGGTCAATCGAGGGGAAGTGTGGTTGTCAAATGTGGTTTCTTCATATGAAGAAACATCTCACTGAGATGGAAGAGAACATTGAAGTTACTCCAGCCACAACCCTGAATTGCTCATAATTTTATAGAACGAGAAAGCAAGTATACCTGACCCTTGAACATATAAGTGAACCTGAGCAGTTCAAACTCCTGTTTTCAGGGGTCACTTGTACTGTTCTTTCTCACAGGAGGATGAGGGCGAGCATTACAGAATGACTATAGAGAGTAGAAAAAATATTCATTTGCGTAATCACATATATTACAAAATGTTACATCTTCTTAGAGGATTGTACTTTTTACCCTTTGTGCAAATCTGGCAAGAAATATCTTTGGATACTAAATTTTCATATCCAAAAAACTTATATCCTAACTTATTAGTATCAAAATGTTAGGCCCTAACTCAATGTCTTTCAGATATTTATAAATACTAATCTATTTGCTTTCACATCCAGCGTTAATGCTGAGAAGTCTGATGCCTCTCTAAATCTTGTCCCTTTATTGGTATCCTGCTCTCATCGCCCCATTCTGGAAGTGTGTGAGTTGTATCGTTATTGTCGGTGACCTGAGCTATCGTCAGGATGTGAAATCTTTTTTTACATCCTGATCAGCACTCAGGTTTTGGTTTCTGAAAAATGTTCTTTTCATTTCTGAACATTATCTTCCCATTATTTTTCTATTTTACTTTTCTCATTTTCTCTATTTTTTGTTTCATTGCTTTCACTGAGCCCACATCTCTCTTAAATTTGTTCTATATTTTATGTATTTTTTTCTGTTTGTTTTGTCCGCTAGTAAAGATTTCACCTATATCATTTTGTATATCCCTAATTCTAATATTTGCCCTGAGTGCTTATAATTAAACTGCTATAAATTTTTTAATTCAGCAACTATTCTGTGAATTCAAAAGAAATCTTTCTATTTTACTTGTTTCCTCCTGATTTATGGATACATAGCTTCTCAAACTCTCTGAAATTATGAAGCCATTGTAATAAGCAGCCTCTCTCCTCTCAATTATCTCTTTCTCCCAGGATGCTTATCACTCCATGTCTTTTTCAGGTTGTTAATTTTCTCCATGGCTGACTTTTATGTTGATTTTCTCCAATGACTGATGATCTTTGGTGATCAATATATATTTATTAATGAACTAGGTTGATTAATTAATGACTTAGGATATGTTATTGCTATATGATTTCCTGCCATTATACAGATATTTTCCCACTCTTTTTTTAATAAGAGGGAAAACTTTGGGTCCTGTATTAGCCAATAAAGTATGAGAACACTGTGTGAATGGAAGTTAGTTTAACAGCACACATGGATTAGTACATACCTCGCACACACACACACCACACACACATACACACACCACATACACATACCACACACACACCACATGTACACACACACCACACGTACACACACACACACCACACACACACACACCACACGTACACACACACACACACACACCACACACATACACACACCACACACACACATCACATACACACACCACATAAACATACCACACACACACACACACACTAGCACACATCTTCAGTGCCAAAGGGAGAATGGTAGTGAATGACTTCATTTTCTATCGCAGACAAAGCTGATGTTTTCCTTTTATTCTTCCAGCCATGTCTGCTGTGGAGGTCCAGAGGGACCTGATTAAATTAGTCTTTTTTGGTCCCAACACTGGACGTCTTTCCAAGGCAGGCAGCTTACTTCATTCAGAGTATCTTTCTCGGGTTCCTACATAGCTACTGCCTGCTGATCAGTATAAAGGAGGCTGTTGGGAGGTCAGCCTGGCCCCTCTGTTGAGAAAACGCTGTACAATAAATTATCCTGGCCATTACCCTGGGCCCCTTACTGCCCTTTGTAATTTTCACTGTGCTTGTTGTTGTTTGTCAAGTTGCTTTTTGTGGATCTGTTCTTTCCTCCCCAGCATGTTGTCTTATGCTGTTCTTAGTGTGAGAATTTCTCTGCAGTTATGAAATGAATTACTTACTGTTTATTTTTCAGGAATTTCTAACAATTTCTGATCTGTTATTAGAACATTTTGGTTTCCAGTGCCATTTTCAGATTGTTCTTATAAAAATATACACTTTCCCTAATTTTGAGTGATTGGAAGTGGTGTATCCTCAGTCCTTTGTCTTATTTTGGGGAATGCCATTGTATTACAAACATTGCTAAAAATCTTAGCGCATAAGCAAGAGACCTACAGTGCAGCCCATCATTGTCAGAATAGTCTCCAAATACTCTTCCTGCATAACGAAAACCAGACCTTTCCAATGTTCTGTGACTGAGAATGAAATAATTGTTTCAGTTACATGTTTGCGAGATGATCTAACGTATTTCCAATTTCATGGTTGAAAAAAATGGACTATTCTTGCTATTGATCTACAAATTATAGCAAAATATAGTCATAAAGTCTGCTATTAAAGTAGCCTAGTTTTATCAGTAAGCTACATGACTTAGGCCTAAAATTAGAGGTTTATTTGCCATACAAAATAAGAAATCTGAGGCTGGTATGGTTGGTATTCTTCACATAGATCTACCAGCTTTTTCATTTTTTCGTTCTGCTCCCCTTAGCATATGGGCTAATATTTAATACTTATATAATGTTTGGGCATCACAGGACCATGCCCCTGTTCTGGAAGAAGCATCAGCCAGTTGACTCCATCCACTTCAACAAGAAGACATTAGCCTTCCTGAATGCTTCACCAAGTACAATTCTACTCTTCTGTCATTGGCTGTAACCATCACATGATCTTACTGAGTCTTTTTAGTCAGACACACAGCATCTTGGAGAAAAATCATGATATTCATTAATTAAAGAAGAAAAGTGGATTTGGGCAGGCATTTAGCAGTGTCTTACTTTGAGACCAATTTCTATTATAGTGCGTGATATTTATGTTGATCAGTATGGACCAATTGGTGAATGGTGTTACCATTGCACAGGTAGTCATTAACTATACTTCCACATGGTCATGCATTTTACAGGTTCTAGTGTAATGAATAATGAATAAACAATCACATTGGGAAAGATATGCCTGGATAATAATTACTTTCGTTTCTCCCATTAGCCAGGTGATACCCGCGACCATCATACTACTCAGGAGGAAAAAGAGCTGCCGCTGGTTACCAAAACAAGTGGTTCCTCGGTAAGTTCTAGCAGGAGAACTGAGGTAGGGATGAAAGATGAGCCTTTTCTTCAAGACAATCATGCAAAACTTTAACACAATGCAACATAATTAAGATGGTTGTACAACCACCACTGACAACAAACCTAACTACCTTTAACTGATTTGTAGGAAGGCATTCAGCAGTAAATGAACCCATTAAATCCACAAGTAACTGCATGCTCTATAAAGAGAGATACATATCCAGAAAACCAATGATTGTGGGCATTTCTTTTTGATAAATCTAGTTCCTTTATATTTTTTTCTTTCATTATAAAAATTATCATAGGACTATTAGTTCTACTGAGTCACAGGTCCATCTGTTGGTTTCTCCGATCATTTCCTTTAGTGTCCCCCGTGCAGAGCGAACTTCAGACACCTTCTGTGGACAATGCTGTTCATCCTAGGTGTCCAGTACCCTCCGCTCCCCATCCCCTCATGTTTGCACAGAGCCCCTTCTCCCTGCTCACCCAAAAGAGGGCAACGTCAGGCAACTCAGGAGAATGATAAACTTCTATCAGTCTGCAAATGGGAAAAGTTTTATTTATTATTTTTCCCAGAGCCTGTTCCCTCCGTTGTTTCTGCTTGGTGTTCCTATCATAAGCTATCTTTTCTCTCCCTTGGTGGAGCTTATGTAATCTATTTTCACTTTTATTTTTCCATCCTCATAGTCCCTCTTCTGACTTCCTGCCGGTGAGATGATGTTGGGGAGAGACTTGCTGTGAAAGGGCAGGCATAGGTTGAACCCAGGTGTGATTATTCACACCTTCGGTCATTTCCCCTCATAATTAAGAGGAAATAATAGCCATGTTTTCCAAAATATTCTCCATTTACTTTCACCTTTGGTGCTATTTTATATGATGGGGAGAGAGTTGGATTTTGGAAAAGAGTCCACATTATTCCTGGAATATCTCTCTCCAACCATCACTCGTGTGATTGTTGCTGGGATTCTGTTTTCCTATTTTTTAGTTATGTTTTGCTGACTCTACTGTGTTTTAGGAGAGAGAGGCTTGCTCATTTGACATAACACTTCCATTTCATCCCAGAATATAATCCCTGTTGTTTATAGAAGACTCCTTTTGATATTAAAAATTATTCAGTCTATTCCATCCTGGTATTTGCAACCTTGAGTTCTTTTGATTTAACTACACAAATCCTCTAATTTAAAAAAACCCAACTTTCTCTTTTAAGAACATACCTTGAGTTTTCTAGTGGTAAAATTTTGTTGTCTTTTCTTATCTTTTAAAATAAGCAAAAGAGCCCCTGGCCGGTTTGGCTCAGCGGTTAGAGCGTCGGCCTGCGGTCCTGAGAGACCCAGGTTCGGTTCCCGCTAAGGGCACGTACCTCGGTTGCAGTTTGTCCCCGGCCCTGGTCAGTCATGAGGGTGGCAGCCACTCAATGTGTTCCTTTCACATCGATGTTTCTCTCTCTCTCTCTGTTCCTCTCTCTCCCTCCCACTCTACCTGAACAAAAAATGGAAAAATGTCCTCGGGTGAGGATAAAAAAAATAAAAATAATAAAAAAATAAAATAAAATAAGCAAAAGATTTTAATAGATACTTCATCAAAGAAAATACATGTATGGCAAATAAGTTCATGAAAATGTGGTCAGTATCATTAGCGGTTATAGAAATAAAGCCACAATGAGATATCTGTACATACTCTGTAACATGGCTAAAATTTAAAATATTGACTACACCTACTGGTGCTAAGGATGCAGAGCAACTGGAACTCTCAGATATTGCTGCTGGGAGTGTGAAGTGGACCATCCACTTTGGAAAATAATTTGGCAGCTTCTTAAAATGTTAAGCATATTAGACCCAGCCAAGCATATTAGACCCAGCCATTCTACTCATAGATAACATATATTTATACAAAGACTATCCACAAATGTTTATGACATAATAGTCCCAAACTGGAAATAACCCAGTTTTTTTCCTACAGATAAATGGATGAACAAATTTTGGTATATCCATACAATTGAACAGCAAAAAAGCAATGACTTATTTATGTATACAACAGAAATATACAATAAACTGTGGACATAGAATAAACTGTGGATAGATCTCAAAATAATTATGCCATGTGAAAGAAGACAGAAAAAAAATTTAGCTTATATAAAATTATAGAAAATGTAAACTAACCTATAATGAAGAAAGAAGATTAATGATTGCCTGGGACCTGGGTGTGAACAAGGAGAAGAGGAAAGGAGAGGTAACAAAGGCATGAGGAGATTTTAGTGGGGGGCTGGTTTTGTTCATGTTCATTGTAGTGGTTTCACAGGTCCGTATATTTGTCAAAATCTATCAAATTGTACACTTTATGCTACTTAAACATGTGCAGTTAATGCTATGTCAGTTTTACACAGTAAACCTGTTTAAAAAGTTCAGATAATGTTCTGTGATTTCATGAATACTTAATATGTTTATTTTGCAATAAGCTACTTACAATAAAGGAATAGCCTACTCATGTGTTATATGTGGTTGACCCTTGACTCTTAATCACCAATGCCACTGAATCTGAGCATTTACAAAAAAGGCTTGCAACCCAATTTATAATCATCACAAACCTATTCTACAAGTCACTACCTGTACAGATAAGAGAAAACATTTCCCATGTGTGCAGCTGACATAAATGAATTATTCAATTGAGATGTTAGTTTATTTAAAAGGCAGTCAGTCTAGTTTATTTCCAATGCCTTGAGGAAAATCAAATAGCTATACTTGCTATTGATTCGTAGTTCACTGCAAAATAGAATCATACCATCTGTTAATAGTTACAACTGTGTTGACTTCATAGAAAAAAAAAATCTAAGTAGCCTTGATGTAAACAAGTAAGTGTGTACTTTAAACACAAAACAAGAAACAAATGGTAGGTAGACCAAGGCTGGTTCAACTGCAATGCCAAACCTAGCATGAGTTTCTAACTTTTCCTTTCATGCTGCCACTTTAGCATGTGGATTTAATCCTTATACTTGCAAGATGGTCAGCAAAATGTGGATGACATGCTGATGTTCCAGTTAGGAACATGTGCCAACTGACTGTTCATTATTAACAGAAAACTTTAGCTCTTCTGGAAAACCTGCACAGTAAAATTTCTCTTATTTTTCAGTATATTAGTGTTTTTTCCCCTCATTTTAGTTGCCTGAATCTCATTCCTTTATACATAAGCATCTTGGGTTATTTTTGTCTACCCTCTCCTCAACTATTTTGAATTTATTGCGGTAGTTCTGAACGTTCACAAGGATCTGCTCTTTATTTCCTTTATCCTGGTCACAACTCAGTGAGGCCTTTCCTTCTAAGAACAGTTTTTTCTCTTTAGTTTTTGGACATCGTTGTCTGTTATGTCTTTAATTATTTTCCCCCATTTTCTATGCCCCACCCTCTAGAACATCTATTAAAGGTCATTGCTGTGCTTGAATTGAATTTCAGTATCTCACAATTTTTTACCATGTTAGTTTATTTGCATTGTGTTCTAAATTTCTTCAAAATTATGTTCAAGTAATTTTTTTCTCGGTCATTATTGTATTATTTTTTTGCTTGTCTCACATTTTTTTGTAAATATTAGCAAACTTAATCTTATTTCCCAAGAACAACTTTTTTCTCTTAGATGTACTCATTAATATTGCCTCATAGCAGTGATCCAGAAATCACTGTGAAGATAAGAATTCAATTATTTTTAAGGAATCAAATTATTCTGATGTGTTCTTTTTATTGAGGTATAATTTACAAACAATAAATGCACACATTTTAGGTGTATAATTTAATTTTAGCTAATGTTTTCCCCCAAGTAACCACAGTCAGTCAAAATACAGAACATTTCGTCACCCCAGAAATCTCTGTCAGATCCTTTCCAGTTTATTGTCCTCACACTCCAGAGAGACGAGCCCATTGTGATTTCTAACACCTTAGGTTGGTGTCACCTTTCATATAAATGAAATTATAACTATAATATGCACTTTTGTATCTGGCTGCTTTTACTCAAGATAATAATTTTTGACTCATCCATTTGTTGCTTATATTAGAAGTTTGGTACTTTTATTACTGATATTATTTCACTGAATAAATATACTATATTGGTATATTTCTCACCTATTGATGGACATTTGGATTGCTTCCAGGTTTAAGCTATTATGTGATGTTTCCATGAACATTCATGTAATATAGAGGATTGTATATTCTCTTTTCTCCTGGGTAAAGATACAACATGATTCATATTATTGGCAAACACAGAAACCCACAGCCCATCACTCAGGCTCTGAAAATCAACAAGGACTAATTTAATAAATAAAAAAGAAATTCTATTGTTTGCTATTTTCATTTATTTATTTTTTCTTTATCGATTATAGAGAGAAAGGATGGAAGAGGGAGAGAGGGATACAAACATCGGTAAGAGAGAACATCGATTGACTGACTGCCTCTAGTATGCCCCCCATTGGGGATCGGGCCCACAACCTGGGCATGTGCCCTTCCCAGGAATCGAGCTGGCAACCTCTTGGTGCATGGGTCGATGCTCAACCACTGATCCACATTGGCCGGGCTGTTTTTTGTTGTTTTTTTTTAAAGCATCTACAGACAGAAACAATAATAACAAATACTAGTTGTTTTTTTTAAATGTGTATTCTAAGTAGGGAATGTTCTCAACTAAGCCTTGGTCCTTGTGGGTGAGCACATAAAGAAAATGAACAGACTACCATGTAAATATTTTTTTCAGTATCAACTAGATATAAATATTTAGTTTTTTCCAGTTATTTTCCAAACATAAACATTTTGTGTGGAGGACATGTTAGCCTTTGGAATATGAGGCAATAAGTGATGCAAAGTGAAATGTGCGCCTGCGTGTGGGTACCGTCTGCTCAGGGAAGTGCTCATCTCTCCGTGGGGGCAGTAATATCCTCAGGTTTTAGGTTTTGCCTCCTGTGCAGGGAGAGCTTCTGACCAAGGCTGTGGATCCTGGTTGTTTTTTCCTGTTCAGCTTCCAGTCCCTCCCGCATTGCCCTATCTATCTGAATCCTGTAACAGCAAGAAAGTGAGTTGGTCCATCCCAGACACCATCCATGAAAACGTCGGGTGGAAAGTGTTCTATAAGGCAGAAGATACCAGCGCACTTTCAGGCAGAACTACAGCTCTCCAGGCCCCTAAAGTTGTCCGCAGAGTTAGTGGTTTATCATTGATTAGTATAGGAAATTGCTGTGTGTTTCCCTCTATAATAGATCAATTTTCCCAAAAGGCCAAAATTGTTGATTGTATATTCTAGTAAGTGTGGTATACTTAACTTTAAGATGCATGGAGGAAGCAGGTAGATTAGTAAACACGTAACCAGGGCAAAACCAATGAAGGGAATGAAGAACTCTAATTTATTACATGCAGTCAAAGCTGATCTTGTTTTTCAGCCTCCCCTCCTTGTCTTTTATTGTGGCTTCCTAGTCCCTTTCTCTTAGACCACTCTACTCATACTGAAAACAGACATACCCTCAAGGCAATTAGTTCATTTTCTGTGGACTGCATTTGGGTTTTTCCCCCTTGGGTTATATGTAAGGGTTATCTACATATCTAAGGGAGGGAGATCTACTTGGCTTCTCTTTTGCAAACAATTTTAACTATTTACCTGTAGCCTGCTCCTACTCTGTCTATACTCTGTTATTTGCTTGTTTTTCTCTTCCCTCCCTACAAGTTTCCTTTAAATATTTTTAAATTTTCTTTTTTAAATTCTGCTTTTTGGTAGAGATTTTTATTTTACCAGACCAATTTCATTTGCTTTTTATCTAGAAGTTTCTATCAATTGATCTGCTACAGAATTCTTTTCTGCTTTAAAGTGATGTTAAAAAAAAAATCTGTTCCTTTAAAAAATATATGTTTTTACCCAGCCGGTGTGGCTCAGTGGTTGAGCGTCAACCCATGCACCAGGGGGTCACCAGTTCCATTCCCAGTCAGGGCACATGCCCCCCCAATGGAGGGCGTGCTGGAGGCACCCAGTCGATGTTCTCTCCTATCTATATATATATGCAGTGAGTGATTGTCAATTCACTATGTTGACTTAAACTTTTTTAATTAGTTCTTGTGCTTTATTGGCTTCTTTAAAAGAAGTTTCTTGTTCATTTTTTTTATAAAGTAAGGCATACCATCCATCTATAGAAAATTTAGAAATATGGTCAAGCAAGGTTAATGACAGTTTTTAAAAAGACAAAATAGTATATGTTTTCAGATGTATAAATTATACTCCATTTTGTTATAGTTCCCTTTAGTAAAGAAAGAATATTCACATAATTTCAGTAAAGCCATTGTTCACTAAAGCAAAAATTTCTTTGTTCCTGCTTTATAAATGAAAAATGACTTGGTACTATTGCTACTGACTTCTGATCTCTGAAAAAGGTAGTTTTAGATTCTGTTAAGAGATAAGATTAAATAAGTTACCTTTGTGTTTGGCTGCATGTAATGAAAACTGAGGAGTTGATTTGCTTCTCATGACGAGACTTGGTCCAAGTCTGACAGCAGCTTCATGATGCCCTTTAGCATGGATCAACCACATGTGATCTGTCTCTGGCATTATTCCCTGTGGCCATAGTCTTTATTCATACAAGGTGTTTGGCAATTCCAGGCTTTCATCTATGTGCTGTGAGGAACATACATCAGCTGACCTTGTTCTTTTGTTCAGGAAAGCCATAGCTTTTCTGGAAACTCTCTTGGTAAAATTACCCTTGCACCTCATTGGCCACACATATCACATGATTACTCTTACTGGCAAAAGAACCTGGAAATCAAGTTCTGTAGTTTAATATCTAAATCCCTGGAACAAAACCAAGATATTGTTAAGGAACATTGAACTTGTGGCAGGCAATAGAGATGTTTTCCACAGAAGCCAGTGTCAGAGGGTGTTTAGGTGGCTCATAGCAAAGACCCTGAAGGGCTGGATGCAATTGTTCGGGCCCAGGCAGTGGTAACTTCATAGATTGCCACACATATCTAAATATGTATACATAGTAGAATACACAAACTCATTAGAAAGTATTTAACTGAATAAGAAAATCAATAAAAACTTTCATTTTTCCATTTAGACAGAGGGTGCTTCTCTCAGCAGTATTGCCTTGTCAGAGGGGTCGCAGGACGAAGAAGGGAAGTTTGCATCATCACCCAGGGGTGGCTCTGTGGTAAGTTATTGTATGCCAAGATAACTGCATGTCAGTGCAAAATGGCCAGTTCAAGGCAAAAAGAAGCAGTTTCTTTAAAACAGATTTTTAAAAAATTTAAACTAAGATTGCAAGGAAACTACAGCTGCCAGTACACCCAGAAACCTTGTAATAATTAGGAAGGAGACTCAAAACTGAGGAATGAATAGACTTCAGTTTAAAAGAGTACTTAATAGCCCAGCCAATGTGGCTCAGTGGACTGAGTGCCATCCCATGGACTGAGAGGTCCTGGTTTGATTCCTGGTCAGAGCACATGCCTGCGTTGTGGGCTCAATTCCAGTAGGGGGAGTGCAGGAGGCAGCTGATCAATGTTTCTATCTCTCCCTCCCTCTCTCTCTAAAAAAAGTTAATAAATATTTTTAAAAATTAAAAATAAAATAAAAGATTACTTGATAAATTAATACCACTGCAGCCAGAAACCAAAGGATATTCTTTATGTGTATCAAGCATGGAAGTATTTGTTAATTTGGTCCTTTTAGCTGAGTTTACACACATGATCTGGCTTAATTCTTCCATCTTAATACAGAAGTCCCTTTACCTGCAGAATAAATTAAAACTCCTTATTTTGATATTTAAGTTTTTTTATTATTGGTTACATTTCTAGCCTTGGCCCTCAGGACTCACCCATGCAAACCCTCCATTTCAGTCAGTCATTTGGCCTTGAATAACAGAACCTGTACTTTTCTTTGTTAAAACTCTCCTCATTTTCCCCTCCTCCCACTTCACTGGAGATCCTCACTTGGTGTCTCTGTGCAGATGCTCCGGCAGGACGTGATATAATGGACCAGAAGAAGCGAGAGGTCCTGTTAGATGAGGTCGTGGTTCTCTGGTGGCAAGCTGATAGACAGCATCAGAGAGCACTTCAGACAGGCAGACTCAGACTCAGATGTCCCTGCAGGGCAATAGTTTCACCTCTGTTGTCCATTTTGGGACACAGGATAGTTGGCATTCACATGCATGACACCACCCCCCCAGTATATCCCCATTATTCAGGGAGATAATGCTATTAGCCCCATGAAAATTAGCTTTTTTATTGTGTTTTTGGAGTTTTGGTTATGGATTTGTTTTGTTGTACAGTTATCACATAAGAAACATAAAATAATGTGAGTGACCTTTGCAGTGAGTAACATCAATAGCACTATAGATCTTGGCATAGAATGGGCTAAGAATAACCCACAATGTCTGAACTGGCTATAAATTCATCCCTTACTTTCCCATTTAAGACCATGCATTGCAATGCAAATCAGTGAGTATGTCTCAAATAATAATCTCCAGGCCACCCTATTTGTCAAAACAAAGTAAATCACTCACAAAATCTGTTAAGTACTGTAAGTGAGTCGTTACCTATAATAGACCTTACCACAATTGTGCTGTACCCCCGTGACTGGATTCCAGCTTTAGGATCCTTTATTTTCTGCCTCAGTTAGTGGTACCCATGTGCCCAAGACCTAATGTTAGCCTCTACTTCACTTACCCTCTCCCCCTCCACATGCCCCTCATGTTGAATGGTTCTAGAATATTTCTACTCCCCTCTTTTCCTACAACTACTTCCTTAGTGCAGAAACTTATCGTCTTCCTGTATTGCTGAAATAGCCCCTCAATTCATCTCCCGGACTTTAGCTTATACCCCTCAAACACTGTAAGTCTTGCTGAAAGCCCACAGGGGTTCCTCCCCACCTTCTAGTTAATATGAAAGCTCCTGACATGATTGGACCCACCCCCACCCCCCTCCCCACCCCGTCTGCCTTCCTAGCTGACTTTTCCATCCCAAGCATTTTGTAGAAGCCACAAAAAAAGACTACACAAGGTTCCAGGCACACACCAAGCAGAAACTGAAGCGTTTGCACAATTGAGTTGCTAAAGAAGACACAGTTGGATAGGCCTTGTTTTTGAGGCGTCTCCACAGCAGTTACATGACCGTGGTTTTACTTCTAGTAAGACTGATGGTAGTCATATTTTTTCATTTCTTTATTCTTTTCTGTTAGCTTCTCCATATCATTGGTTGCTTGATTCATTTATTCATATTCATTCATTCATTCATTCATTCATTCATTCATTCATTCATTCATTCATTTAACAAATCTTTACCAAGCACATATTGTCTGCAAATAGGATTCTTGAAAACTTGAGAGTGTAAGTGAAATAAATGATCGTATATAGAAATTGCAGATAGCGTTTCCTAGGGTAAGTTAATTACTTAGATTTTGGTTTTATTTTTTGAAAACTGTCTCTATAGTTTGTTTTTTAGATCTGTTATAAATTCACCCTTATTATTCTGCATCAGAATTTTCTTTGCCCTTCTTAGAAATGTTTTCTTTCAGATCAACTTAGAATAAGACTATTATTACCCATTAAAAAATATTTTTAGGACTTCACTGAGAATGTTATTGATTTTAAAGATTAATGTCAGGATAAGAATTCATATCTTAAATACTGAGTTTTCTCACTAAGAAACAATGGTTATATCTTTCCATTTATTTATATCATCTATCCATCATAAAAATTTTATAATTCTTTCCTACATTTTTTCTTACACGGTTTTACTGGTTAATTCTAGGAACTTATTTTCTTTCATATATATTTTTTAATCCTCACTTGAGGATATTTTTCTATTTATCTTCAGATAGAGTGGGAGGGGAAGAGAGAGAAACATCAATGTGAGAGGGACACATCGACTGGTTGCCTCCTGCACAACCCTGACCAGGACTGGGGTGAACCGCAACCAAGGTACGTGCCCTTGACCAGAATTGAACCTGCGGCTCTTTGGTCCATGGCCCGATGCTCTAACCACTGAACAAAACTGGCCAAGGCAGTTTTCTTTCAGATTATAAGTGGTAGGGATTTTATGATATCTTCTATTTTGTTTATGCAGATATATAAGTAAAATAATTTGTGGTTTTTTTTTTTTGTTTTTTTTTTAATTATCTCATTGTTTCCTTTCTGAAATTTTTTTTTCTATGAATTTTTCATTCGGTATTATAATTTGTGCAGATATTGTCTGAAATACTGAAAGTTTTGTTAACTCTATTTATCTTATTTCTCTTCCTTGTCTTATTGACTGACCACAATCACTTGTAACATTAAGTAATAATTATGGAGATCTTTAGATAAGTTTTTTATTTTCCCATGAATTCTTCTAAGTTTCATCATTAAGTAGAATATTTATTATAGGTTTCTGAGCCTCGTAGTTGCTTTTATCAGGAATGGAGGTTGAATTATAGCAAATGATTGTTCATTATGTATTAAAATTAATATATTCTTTTTATTTAAGCAATTCAGGAAATTACAGTAATAGGGTTTTTAATGTTGAACAATAATTTTGTTGCTTAAACCCTACTTGTTGTATTATATTATTTTTTCATTACACTGCAGAATATGATTTGCTACTGTTTTAGCACTTTTACCACTAGTCTAATAAGTGGTGTTAGTGTGTGTGTGTGTGTGAATAATCTTTTGTTGTTACCAGAGCTATGCTATCTTCAAATGTGATTTAAATTTTAATCCAAGATGTCATTGAAATCCCTTTATAAATTCACATTTGAATAGATTTTGTAATTGTTGTTATGTTTTTTTCAAAATTGATTGTATATTTTTCAGTGAATGTGCTTGATTTAAGTTCATCTCTGAGGAATTGGGCACAGTGGTTGCAAGATGTGGATTGATCATTTCTGACCTCAGGTGCAGAAGAAGATGGGGAGCCTTATTATCTGCATTGACTCAAGCACAGGCACCATTAGTACACAGAGTATAACACAGAGTTATATTACATAGACTCAAACCATGAGAAAAAACACCAGCAGCATGTCAGGAAGATCAGAAACATCTTTTGAGTCAGTGAGTTTCTCCTGAAGTATTGAACATGAGAAATGTTTGGTGTGGTGTTTCTATAATGTGAAGGAAATAGCAGAGAGTCAAAGGTTAGTTGTAAGAGAACTCAAGCAGGTAGTGCCAACCTTCCATAATATGGAATTTCAAATGGTAACCCCCCATACTCAACTCTCCAGTCCCAGTGCAGTATGACTTGGCAGCAGAGCAAGCTTTGGTGGCTGGAAAGTCTTGCCTTTCTCTACCTTTTACAGCCCCAGTGAAAAACTCTTGTGGTTGGGCAGGTAGAGAAACAGTAGGATATATTAGGGACAAGCCAGGGGAGTTTGTTTTAAATGGGAGTGGCACTTGTGCTTTAAGTAGATTAAAATCACTAGTACATTTTTAAAAATTATACTAGTGTTAATATGTGTAATAAGTGAATAGATGTCTCAAAACTGTGAATACCAAGCACCTAACCTTTTCACACAATATACTTCAAAGCTCGAGGTCCATTTATTGGCAGGCTGTCCTCCTTTTTCATTTTCACCATGTCTTTTCCCTGTTTTAACACATGAATGCTCTTTTGTTTATTTTGTTCTGCTTTGTTTTAACCCTCATCACCCTAAGTCTCAACTCCTCTACCTGGCTTTCAAAGCCTTCCATAATTTGAACACACCCTCTTGACTAACGTATCTTTCAGGTTTTTTTAACTTCTTGCCTCAACCCCTAGCACACTAGTCTCTCCTTGATCCCTGTAGCCGAGATGCTTCAGATAGTTCCATACCTGAAACTGATCTTCCACGTCTGGCCTGAGTCTGTCACCCGCCTCCTCTGCCTTTGAAAGTCCCTTTCCTCCGCCCTGCCTTCCTGCGCCAGTCCAGCCAGCTCTGCAGCAACCTCCTGGCCACACCTTCCTTTCCAGTCTCTCCAGTAAACACTTATGGTTGTATTATAGAAATTCCCTCTTAACAGTGGATTGTTATCTTTTAATGTTCCACAAATGTTACTCTGTTCTTCTCATTATAAATACTTAAGAGCAAGGATCACAATTTAAGCTTCTGCGTCCCCCAAGAAAGTCCCAGAATAATTTGCAAAGAGCACGCATTTATTCAGCACAATAGGCTAGCTTCTCCACTTTACAGATTAAGAAATTAACATTTAGTAGGTTAAAGTATTCCAAACCATCAGCCTTAAGCCCTATATAAATGTCCTTCAATATTTAAGAGTGTTCTGTCCCATAGGGGAGTTATTTCAAACTTTGATAAAACATTTCTTCTTTGGAAAACTTAAGGAAACCATTGAAAAGTGGTCCATATTTTTTAAGGATTTCAGTGTGTGGGTAATCTTTATTCTGTAGTGTTAGTTTTTAGAGCCACCAAAAATCTGACTGACAATGAGTTGTATGGCACTAGACATTTTTGTATTTTTATTCTTCTAATAATTATGTAATTAGGCATCTGTGTTTTAATAATTGGCCATATATTCACATGCCATTTACACAATAAGTGCGTCATCCTTTGAATTAAAATAGAAGTAAAATACAGGCTCAGAATTTGAGACTCTCTTATGTAATTTGTAGCACAATAGAGCATCTTTCATGAAGCAGGTGTTCAGTTATTACTAAATAAATGTGAGAATAAGATTTTCACTCCCACCCACATTCATAGATAACTCCCACATAAAAATGTATATTGATAGAAATTTTAAGATGTGTATATAATTGTTTTTTATTAGTACCCATCTGACCTGAGCAGTAACTTGCTTCACAGGGTTGTACAAAGAGATTCTCAGTTTCTGATAGTATTGCGGGGGTGTACAATGGTTTGATAGGATCTCAGTGAAGAAAGTAGCAAATTTATTAAGAGGAGAAACTGGCACTGGTCAGTTTGTCTCAGTGGTTAGAGCGTTGGCCCAAGGACCAAAGGGTCACAGGTTCGATTCCTGGTAAAGGGTATGTACCTGGGTTGCAGTTTCCATCCCTGGGCCCTGTCAGGGTTGTCCAGGAGGCGACCAATCAGTATGTCTCTTTCACACTGATGTTTCTCTCTCCCCTCCCTTCTACTCTATCGAAAAAGATCAATGGAAAAATATTCTCAGGTGAGGATTAACCAAAGGAAAACAAAAATGGGGAAACTGAACTAGAAAACATACTTAATTTTTTGACAGTTGTCATCACTATTTTATAGTAAAGGGATTAATATGTTAACATATAGTAGCTAATTCTTACATAGTATTATATAACGGATATTATTTCATGTGATTTGATATAAGATAAGTCATTTAGAGTTCATAATAACTGTTTCAAATATGTTCTGCTATCTACATTTTGCAGATTAGGAGACTAAGCTATAGAGACTTTAATAACTTGCTTAAAGTCACACAGTAAGTGGTAAAGCCAGGATTAAAATTCAAGCAGTTTGGCACTAGCATCCCTTTGAGTGACCACCTAGCCATGTGAACAAAATGACCAACTGCATCAAAAATAACAAATACTGTAATTGACAAACTTTGTGACACCAAGCATTGTCATTTCTATATGTTAGGAAAGATATGAGTGACATACATTTAAGAGCTATGAAGGCGGGCTTATTTTGACATAACTTAGTTCTCTTTTGAGATAACTGTGTGGACTGTGCAGCTCTGAAATGAATGAAGAAACACAGGAAAGTAGATGCAGGCTCTTCATGAAATCAAGCATTGCTTCTAATTCCTTGATACTATAGAACATAAATCAGATTAAAATGTAGGATAGACTGTATTTATGGTCAATGTTTTGTGTCCATCTTCCCTTGTTTCACAGTCTATCCTTGAGACTATTCCAGATATACCAGTTCATTCCAATGGATCGGCAGACCCCGGGCAGTCAATTCAGAGCTCAGTGAGTGGTAAGTGGCACAACCTCCCATTAAACTTAAGCTGGATCTTCTTTGTGCTGGCCCTCAGTAAAGTTTGCAGTGAATTTCCAAAGGGAAAGGGAAGTGTGTTGTCCCCCCATATGCACTGTCCCCAGCATGCACTCCTTTCACCTCCAGACCCCCGCTGTGTCACACCAGGCAACATTAAGAGAGCCAAACAGGAAGCAGAATCTTTCCCTCCTTCACTACAGTATCATTTAGAAACTACTCACTTGGGTATGTCTTTGATTTGGGGCCTCTGTCACAAGTAATCTGGATCCGCTTAAGAGCTGCAAGCAAGCCAGGAAGTAGGCCACTCTAATTATGCTTCCCAATAGCAGCAACATTAGATCTAGATGGACTTAATTTTAAGATCATAATATTATGTAGAAACATCCCATTTTGGGACTTTCCTCTAGTTATCTTCAATGCCTTAATGACACATAAAAATCCAACATTGAAAACATGACATTAAATAGAAAATCGATTTAGATAATGATTGTAGAAATGTATTCACATGCAAAGCTGATGACACTACCTTGCTGTTCAACTGGCATCATTCTGGGTGAGGCTGATGCCTTTCCTTGGACGTAAACATTCTAACGTGCGTATGGATTAACTCATAAATACTTGGTGCTTATATTAGTCAATGGTATTGATTGATTAAGTGGCATATTAAATATTCTATATCCTTTTTTCTTAGATGATGATTATCTGGAAAAGAACATTCCACCAGAAGCTGAAGAGCTGTCCTTTGAAGTATCTTACTCAGAAATGATTGCAGAGGCTCCAAAAAGAAATAAATGTAAGAAGTCAGATTTTAAGAAAGAAGACTATGTTTTAACTGTAAGTAAAACTTCCGTCATTATTCCACTAGCTTCCTGTGACTTCTTCATGGCACAAGCTAGGATTTTTAAAAACAATTTCTTTGTGTGTGCAGAAATGGGAGAGGCCAGGCTTCAGTGTCGTGTGACACTAGGGGTATCATTTGCTGTGTAGCCACAACCTGCCTGGCTGTTTCTGGCAGCCCTGGGTAGAGGAAGAGTTGTGAGGGTGTATGCTTAGATACTGTTGTCTAGATGAAATAGGATTTCCACCTGGCTTGTGTGCTTTCTTGCATTTTACATTCTTACTTACAAGTTAATGCAGATTCTAACTGTACACCTACTTATGCCTCTAGAAGCACATATCAGAGGAGATTATTGCAGAAAGTCACAGTCATAACAACAAGAAATGAGCGCTTACAGGACAGACACTAAAATTTAATAAAAGACAAATTAAGAATTTATAATATTATTATGGATGAGCAAGTAGTGCTCCATACCTCATTATCCTGAAAGCCTCATTATATATATCTAGGATATTATTTCCTGTAAGCCCATGTTACGCTGATCTATTTGCTACTCAATAAATGCATTTGTGAAGAGTTCATGATAGGGAGCCCTGAATATTCTGTGCTGATCAGGGCAGGCAGCGTGGTGAGCTGGGCTCAGGTAGTTTCAGAGCTAAAGGAATATGAGTCATCTAGAAACAGGCAGAGTCTGCCCCGGGGGCCTGGACCATTTCCAGACAAACACTCTGTGATGGAGAGGAAGAAGAGAGGCAGGGCAAAAACTGTAAGACTCACCGACACTGCATTAGGTATTCAGTTGTAATCATCTGTGTGATTGGTCCTGATTGTCAGCTGAAGAAACTGAGGCACAAAGAAACTAAGTAACCCATAGCTAACAGATGGCAGAAACAGGATATAAACCTATGTGTGTCAAACTCCAAGCCCTCTTGGTCCCTAAGCAGCCTCTATGTTGAAAGGCACAGTGACATTCAACAGTGGGAATCTAGTGGACTCTAGTTTCAGGGAGTGTCCTGAACCTTTAGAGAGAGCTGTCCAAGGAGGATGCTGGTTGCCATTCCCTTCATCCAAGTGTGTGTCTCCTGAGGTCTGGCTCACCCAGGGTACAGAACAGCCTCCCTCCAGTTGAAGAACTTCGCATGGGGCTTAGCATGCCATATTACTCAATGAAGGCTTGTGGTCTTGTTTATATTGTTATGTGTTATCATTATATGGGGCCTTGGTCTCAGAAAGAAGATAAAATAACCAAACATTTAAGAGCACAAGTTATGCTCCAAAACACATCCTACATTTTTTTTGTTTCACTTTAAAATACTTAGAGTTCCAAGGAATGAGTGAATGAATGAATTGGTGGATGGAGAACTTATATGCATGTATGCATGAACAATGGACATGGACAACAAAGCTGGAGAGAGGGCAGGGAGGGAGGGGAAGGGGGGAATCAGTGGGGGGAAAAGGAGAAACATCTGTAACAAAAATAAATAAATTCATTTAAATTAAAAAAAAAAAAGAATTGGTGGATGGTTTTAAAACCCCAAGGAAGCTTTAATTTAAGGAACCTCTATGGAGAATGTGTACTTAAAGCTTTGTAATTCAAATAACTGTGATATTTTTCTACTTTAGCAATTTTTTTTTCAACACCAGATTTTCTGAAAGCAAAGTATTTGTTGTATACTATATATAAATATATATATTATATAATACAATACTTATATTTATATATAATACTTATACTATATTATACTTAGATAATTATATATTTGTTATATAATACTTATATTTTTAAAATTATTATTACTTATATATAATACGTATAGTTATACTTATATATTAATAAGAAGATTTTGTTGTTTTGAAAGGTCTTATAGTCTCCACAATATTTCTGGATGTTTGAAGGATTTTTTGTTGTTGTTTTAGTATATTTTGATGTCTGGTATGGAAAGAGAGATATAGCACTATCATTGTCTTCAAAATGATAGTAGAATTATTGAGCACTTTTTCTGCATTTTTCTTTTTTAAGACTATTTGGAATAATCTAAATCTGATTTTAAAAGTAGAAAAACTATTGTGTCAGCAAGCGTGTGCAATCAGTTTCAATTTGGAAAATTATTTACAATCTTTTAAATGAGGCAGAAGAGAAGAGATGATGCCTGATTTAAGGACCGATGGTCCAAAATAAAAAATACATTGCAAGGTCTCCTGGGAGTACCTAGATGGTGCCTTGCATACCTGTCTCACCTGGGCCAGTGGTGTGTACATTCAGGTGATGCCTGGGATGTTTGTTGTTGACAACATAGGATGGTCTTTAGAAGAAAGTGGTTTTACAGTTGTGATGACAATGTTGTAGTATGCTCAGACCTCTGTTTTGCTTCATGTTTAGCATAGTAGTAACCTGCAGATGTTCTAAAAATTATTTTCATAATCTTTCTATGATGTAGCATGCTCCTCAGAGATTTTTCCCCCCAAATACCATGTCTTGCTATACAGATTTTGAATGTCCAGGTAGCATTTGAATGAAGGTACAATAATTTTCATTTGCCATAAAAAATAAGTATTCTTAATATGTATTTCAGAAATTTATTGTTCAGAAAACCAGATTTGGCCTAACTGAAGCAGGAGACCTATCGGCTGAAGACATGAAGAAAATCCGCCACCTATCTCTGATTGAATTGACGGCCTTTTTTGATGCCTTTGGAATTCCGCTGAAGAGAAACAAAACAGAGAAAGTAAAAGGAAGAGGTAATTAAGAGGACTGATTTCTTCTGATTGTAACACTTTGACACTTTGGAATAAGATAGTGCTTTTCTGATTCTTTGTTCTTTCTCAACTATTTTACAATGAAGACAATGGGATTTTTGGAGTTCCACTCACAGTCCTACTGGACAATGACCGAAAGAAGGACCCTGCAGTGAAAGTGCCCCTTGTGTTACAAAAAGTGAGTAGGGATAAATGAATGGGAAATTAATAGAGCTTCATGCTTGCAATATGCTGTTTGTAAACTTGCCAATGAATTGTCCTTTAGATTTAAAGACACTAAGCCAAGCCCTGTTAGGACTCAGGTCGTTGGTAATTTTCAGCATTCTTCCATGAAGCCCCATGACATTCCACAAGTACTTGGACCATTTGCCTTGTTGTGAACTTCTGGAGTCTGTTACATTGACCACAAAGCATCAGGGATAGATACAGATGCTCTGTCACGTGACTTCCTTTGGTTATATCTTTTTCCGATATTTTTTAAAAAATATTATTTGTGTATGTGTTTGTGTGTATTTGATTATTCTGTCTGAGATAAAAGATAACTAGTAATTACCAGCAATCTATTTACTGATCATACAAGTATTTGCTGAGATCATAGGTTGAGTGTTTCAAAATGTGTGTTTGTAATCATTTAAATGAATTTTCCAAAAAAGTTTAATAAAGTCTAAAAATCAGCTTGTTGTAGTTTTTTAGGTATGACTGGGAATATATGATATAGTTAGACAAAGAAGAATTTTGGTCTGGGAAGTTTTAAAAGTGATATTATTTGAACTATCATCTGCTAATATCTCTCTGACTATTGTTGGTGAATGGCACATTTGCTTTTAAGTCATGTTTTCTTATATGCAACAATTTACACCTAGGTATGCATTTATTTACCTAAGTATGCATTTATTTAACAGTGACATCCATTGGCACAATTAAAATTCCAAGCCCTAAACACAAATATTACTGAATTTTAAATTGAGTTTTTAAATGACGTGAAAATATTGACTGAGGAAACATATGTTTACATTATTCACAGTAAACATTCTCCATGTCTTCACTATGTTTCCAAATTTTGCTACCAGTACCTCAAGTTGAGCTACTCCTCAAATGGGAGTGATTAATTGGCTGCCAATGGGAGCAGGGGGGATGGCAGAAGAGGCAGGAGACATGCCATGTGCACAGGGGGCGGGGCAACTGCAGGACGGCTCTCCCGCACGGGCTGCATCAGTACCTTCCGTGTCCTGTCACATCTCATCAGCACTGAGTAGCCTGAGGTTGGTGTTACCATCTCCCTTCTACTGATGAGGCAACTGAGGCATAGTAGGGTAAGATAATTTACCCAAGAACACACAACTAGCAAGAGGTAGATGCAAAAAAGAGTATATAACCAAGGCCAAAGTTCATGGTGACACTAAGATTTTCTTTCCTTTCTTGAACTGGAACCAGAATTATGTCGTTTGTCCTCTGTGTACAGGACAGAGTTTTAAAAAAATGCATAAAAATCTAAGACGGAGAAGATTCAATACATGAATTTATGTTATTATGTAAGTGCAGAAATCTAGCACAGGACATAGTAAAAGGAAGGTGCGCAATAAATGATAATCAAACTACATCTGGATTTATATCCTATTAGCAACTCAATAAACGTCAGCTCTCATTCCATTCCAAATGATATGAAGTGTTCCTCTTTTAAGACAGGTTGAGGTATTACCTTTCTACTCCTATGGGAGAGTCTTTTCTTATGGATGTATTTTTCCTCCTAAATATCTATTTCTCTCCATACCTTAGTTTCAGGCACCATCATATTTTGAAGGAAAAATAGCAGAGACTCTGGATCCTGCTCTTGTGTGTAGCTGGGCTAGTATTTGTCCTTACCATGCCTCAGTCTCCTCAGCAGTAGGTTGAGGGTTCTAATAGTACCTTCCACATGGGATTATTGTGAGGATTTAAATGAGTTGATAGATGTAAAGTACTGAGAATTTTATTTAACACTCAAAAAGTACACAATCAATATTAGTAGTTATTATTATTATTTTAACACCATCCTCATCACCATGAGAGATCATGAAAGCTATAAACTTTTACCATTTCTATCTCCTTGGTCATATTTCTAGAATTCCTGTAGTTTCATAGCCAGAGTGGTTGCAAATAATGATAGTGAATTTAGAATCTTTTTTTATTGGTCAGTGTGCAGAAAGAGATGTAGTAATCAGATCCTAAAGTAGTTAAGTGGCAGCATGCTTGAGTGGCGAAGAACACAGGTTGAGAGAGCCAGTGCCATTGCTTTTATGGTGAATCTGGGGAAAGTAATGTGACAGCTCTAGGTCTCCGTTACCTCATTTGCAAATTGGAGGCTAATGTTAACCTCATGGGGTGGGCGTGAACACTTAAAGGTATCCAAGTACCAGGCACGCATATATGCTTGTTAATGTATCATCTGTTGTCATCAATAGTATTATTTCAGATGTTTATAATCATATTGGAGGTATTTATTTTTGTAATGTATCATTGCTTTCTAGTTTTTTGAGAAAGTTGAGGAATCGGGTCTGGAGTCTGAAGGAATTTTTCGACTTTCAGGATGTACTGCCAAAGTCAAGGTAACAAACATTTTCTCTTTTCTAGTTAGAGATCTAAGCTAGCTAGACCCAGTTCTCACAAGCATCGAGTATCGAGTCTTTGTTGTTTTGATACTAGCACTTGGCCCTACCTCATTTTCCTCCTAACCTATGATTACATGTTGTTTATGGTCCTGAGTTGTGTATCCTTTTAAATTAAAACAACAATAAAAAAACAACAACAATAACATGACCCATCAATTCATCATCAACGTTGCTGCTTGTCTTTAGTTTGAGGAGTTGAAATGTCTCATTACTGTTTTCTGGGTTAAACACTATAGTTTGCTGTGTTCCAGTCATGGAATTCATTAAGTCAATTATTATGCAAGCCCTAATTTTCCTGTAGTTGCTTTACATTCAGAAATATTCTTTGGCTCTCCTTTTAATGAAAGTTCTTATAAGAATTTGTAGGAATAGCCATAACCACTACAATACTCACTCAGCAGTTCTAAAACCTAATTCCATTTAAGGTAATGTTAGTTTCTACATATAAAAGCACTCGTGCGATGTGAGTCTTTTTATTTTGCTTATGTGGTGGCAAACTCTACCATTCAAGAAAGGAAAGAATTATTAGAAAAGAAAAGCTTTTTCATAAATTTCCAGAAGCTTATACCACTTTATCTACTAGTGAGCATACACAATGAAGAATTCCTTCCTGCCCCTGGATCACTCTCTGGCTGGTGAACATGGAAACATGAGCGTTTTGAATGATGAATCCCTCAGGGAGAGGGAGAAGTGAACCTGATTGTTTAGAACTATTAAAGTTCTAAAGGAAATGTATAGAGGCAGAAAAGTATATCTTCATAAAATCATTTTTGTACATGTTTTGAGACATTTTATTTCATAAGTCTCCAAGTTTTTATCTAGAAATCTGACAAGGTGTTTTTCTAAGTGGAAACAGAATAAATAGGCTCTGTCTATTGGAAGCACCAGAAAGCTGATGCTCGGATGAAGTTGGGAGAAGAGGGTTATTGCGGGATAGTGCTACTGAAAGACAATTCAGGTCTGACCATTTATCCCGTCCCATGCAGCAGTCCTGCACTGAGCAGAGTGGACCAAGCCCCAGCCCTCATGCCATATTCAGTCATTGCTAGGGCTTTCTGTGGAGGAGGGCCTGAGGCAGATCAGAAAGTCCTAACAGCTGGGGAGCTAACTACGTGGATTTTTAAAATTAATTAGCTAATCAATTAATTTTTGTTACAGATGTTTCTCTTTTCTATCCCTAGACACCCTCCTCCCAATCCCACCCCCATCCCACAGCATTGTTGTCTATGTCCATTGGTACATACATGCATATAAGTTCTTTGGTTTATTTTATCCCTCCCCACGGCCTCCTCCTCTGAGGTTTGTCAGTCTGAACTGTACTCCTTTCTATGTCTCTGGGTCTATTTTGCTCATCAGTTTATTTTGTACGTTGTATTCCACAAATAAGTGAGATCATGTGGTATTTATCTTTCTCTGATTCACTTATTTTTCTTAGCATAATACTCTCCAGTTCATTCCATGTTATCTCGAAGAATAGATTTTTCTTTCTTACAGCTGCGTAGTACTCCATTGTGTTATTATACCATGGCTTTTTTTTTTTTTTTAATCTTTATTGTTGAATGTAGAATGTACTACAGATGTTCCACATTTTTCCGCAATTGACTCCCTCCTCCCCACTCCCGCCTTTTCCCACACTATTGTCTGTGTCCATTGGTTATATGCATATAAGTTCTTTGGTTTATTTCTTTCCACCACCACCCCCCCCCCCAACCCCTTTCCCTTTGAGGTTTGTCAGTCTAGCAATGAATTTGTACTTCTTAATCGCTTCAACTTTTTCACCCAATACCCCAACCCCACTCCCATCTGGCAACCAACAAAATGTTCTCTGTATCTATGAGAATGTTTCTGTTCTGCCTCTTCATTTTGTTTGTAGATTCCATTGTCGATAGATATGTATTCATTGCCATTATGTTTGTTCATATATTTTATCTTTTTCTTTAAAAAGACCCTTCATCATTTCATATAATAACAGTTTGCTGGTGATGACTCCTTTAAGTTTTTCTTGTCTGGGAAACTCTTTATATGGCCATTGATTCTAAATGACAGCTTTGCAGGATAGAGTAATCTTGGTTGTAGGTTCTTGCTTTTCATCACTCTGAATATTTCTTGCCACTCCCTTCTGGCTTGCAAAGTTTCTTTTCAGAAATCAGCTGACAGCCTTATGGGAACTCCCTTGTAGGTAACTAGCTGCCTTTCTCTTGCTGCTTTTACGATTCTCTCTGTCTTGAACCTTTTGCATTTTGATGATGATGTGTCTTGGTGTGGGCCTCTTGGGGTTCATCTTGTTTGGGACTCTCTGTGCTTCCTGGACTTGTATGTCTGTTTCCTTCACCAAGTTAGGAAAGTTTTCTGCCATTATTGTTTCAAACAAGTTTTCGATATCTTGTTCTCGCTCTTCTCCTTCTGGCACCCAGAAGATGCAAATGTTGGCACGCTTGAAGTTGTCCCAGAGGCTCCTTATACTATCCTCATTTTTTTTGGATTCTTTTTTCTTTTTGCTGTTCTGATTGGGCATTTTTTGCTTCCTTATATTCCAAATCGATGGTTTGCTTCTTGGATTTACGTACTCTACTATTAAGTCTGTGTAAATCATTCTTTATTTCAGTTAATGCCTCCTTCAATTCTGACTGTGCATCCATGATTACTGACTGGTCCTTTTTTATGCTCTTGAGGCCCTCAATAAGTTCACTGAGGTTCTCACTGAGTTCATTGAGCATCCTTATAAGCAGTGTTTTGAACTCAGCATCTGTTAGGTTGCTTATCTCCATTTAGCTTAGTTCTTTCCCTGGAGATTTTTCTGTTCTTTCATTTAGGACCTGTTTCTTTGTCTCCTCATTTTGGCTGCCTCCCTGTGTTTGTTTCTGTGTATTACTTAACGAGAGGTATGGGGCTAGCTGAGACCAGATGCTGCTCATTTGAAAGAATTTAGGAAAACCTGAAGCAGGATCCAAGACAGGCCAATCCTGTGGTTAAGTAAGTGGCAACAGTTTGGGTGGGCCTGAAAGTTGGGTGGGGTGGGGCGGGGCTTAGCCTCAGGGAGTCACCAGGGCGGGGCTACCAGTGTGAGCCAGGTTGCTGGAGTCCCAGATATGGCGACTGTCTGCCGCCCCAGGGAAGGGTTCACCAAAGGAACAAAGGCCTCTGACAGCACGTTTGTCCCAGAGAAAGCTCCCTCTCCAGCCCTTGCTCCAGTGCCAAACAGCTCAGTTCTTCCCTGCATGTCTCTGGCGCCCTTGGAGCTGCCTCCCCTCCAAGCTTAGAGGGAGAGAGTCCGGTAAGTCCGTGCGCGGGCCCTTTAAGGAACTGCCTGGGGCTCCAGCCGCTTCAGCTTCCCTGGGCCTCAGTTTCCACTGGTTTTTTCAGGCAGAAGTTATGGGGACGTCTCTTCCTGGCACTGGAACCCTGAGCGGGGCACCTGGTGTGGGACAGGGACCCCTCAGTCCTCAGGAAGGACCTTCCCAGCCGAGGTATCCTCCTGATTTTTATCCGCCACATGTGGTTGCGGGACCAGTCCGCCACCGCCCCTCACGCCTCCGCCCCTCCTACCAGTCTCGATGTGGCTGCTTCTTTAATTCCGTAGTTGTAGGACTTCCATTCATCTTGATTTCAGGCAGTTTTGAATGATGGTTGTTCTGTAGTTTAGTTGTAACTTTGATGTGGTTGTGGGAAGACGCGATACCCCGTTTACCTACGCTGCCATCTTGACTGGAAGTCTACTGTGGCTTTTTTATCCACTCATCTGCTGATGGAAACTTGGGCTCTTTCCAGATCTTAATTATTGTGAATAGTGCTGCTATGAACATAAGGGTGCATATATTCTTTCGAATTAGTGTTTCAGGATTCTTAGGTTATATTCCCAGAAAAGGGATCACTGGGTCAAAAGGCAGTTCAATTTTTAATTTTTTGAGGAAACACCATATTGTTTTCCAAAGTGCCTGCACCAGTCTGCATTCCCACCAGCAGTGTACTAGAGTCCTCTTTTCTCCACACCCTCACCAGCACTTGTTTGATGATTTGTTGATGGAAGCCATTCTGGCAGGTGTGAGGTGATACCTCATAGCTGTTTTTATTTGCATCTCTCTAATAATTAGAGACATTGAGCATTTTTTCATATGTCTCTTGGCCATTTGTATGTCCTGTTGGAGAGGTGTCTATTTAGGTCCTGTGCCTATTTTTTTTAATTAGGTTCTTTGTCTTCCTTTTGTTGAGTTGAGTACTCTGTATGTTTTAGAAATTAACCCTTTATCTGATATATCATTAGCAATTATGCTTTCCCATATAATGGGTTCCCTTTCCATTTTGATGGTTGTTTCTTTTGCTGTGCAGAAGCTTTTTAGTTTGACGCAGTCCCATATATTAATTTCCTTTGTTTCTCTTGCCTTAGGCATTGTATCAGTGAAAATTCTGCTGCATGTGCTGTCTTAAATTTTGTTGCCTACATTTTCTAGGAATTTTATGGATTCATGAATCATGCTTAAAAGCCTTTTATCCATATTTAGATTAGTCTTGTGTATGGTGTAAGTTGGTGGTCTAGTTTCATTTGTTGCGTGTAGCTGTCCAATTTTTCTAACACCATTTATTAAAGAGGCTGTCTTTACTCCATTTTATGCTCTTGCCACCTTTGTCAAATATTAATTGAGCATAATGTCTTGGGTCTATTTCTGGGTTCTGTTCTGTTCCACTGATCTATATGCTTGTTCTTGTGCCAGTACTAAGCTGTTTTGATTACAATGACTTTGTAGTATAACCTTGATATCCGGTAGTATGATCCCTCCTACTTTGTTCTTCTTTTTCAAGAATGCTGTGGCTATTTGGTATCCTTTTTTGGTTTCATGTAAATTTTTGAAGTATTTGTTCTAGATCTGTGAAATATGTAATTGGTATTTTAATCAGGATTGCATTGAATTTATAGATGCAATCTATACTACTTTGGGTAG